TGTGTGTGTGTGTGTACATATATATATATATCAGTATAACACAATACAATAAAAACTTACGAGGTATCTGATACCCGCCCAGTACATCCGCATTGATACTCTCTCTGGGTACCAGTGCCGCTGCGGGATACAATCGCAGGATCTCTTTGGTGACACAATTCAAGTATTCCATCCCCTCGATTTCCGTGTAGGTAAGTCGCTGAGATATTTAGAAATGACAAGTAAGTCTCGACGCGTTGGTATCAGATGAGAAGTTTTGGAAATCTCAGTTACGTGACCCAGTCTAGCTCAGCAGATTGTTTAAGAGTCAGAGTAGCTTACCGCGATGTTCATTGCGGGTATATGCCAGTTATACAGAGTCGAAGGGAGATACATGAAGCAACAACACGCACAACATGTAACATAGTAGGAATTATTGGGATTATTACAAGCACGGTTACCCATACTCAATGCTTTAGGGTGTGAGATACATTACGGTACCATGTCACACCTCCATAGCACACTCCATTTCCGATTTGTCGCTGATAGGCGAGAGAAGTCCTAAAATGTGGCGACCTCATGACATCATAGTACACACCTCACCCGTCTTGCTGCTTAGTGCCACGCGGATCTCGTCTCTGAGCCTGGCCTGTACAGACTGTTCTTTGGCCAAAGAATAGAAACACCAAGCCAGGGACACGGCGGTTGTCTCTGTGCACATGAACAGCCGTGTACATCACAGGCACGGGACCAACTTTAGTGTTGTGTCGAATGGAATGAAAAACTTCACATTGCACATGATTATGCTTCACACTATTGTGCTTCACACTATACTCGTGTGTCAGTTGCGCTACATACTTCGGTCTATAGATGTCTGCACTGACGCCCAAGTTTTCAAAACACGGTACTCTGAGAGTTCGCCTGTACAACGGTAGGCTCTAAACATCTCACGAAATCGATCATGTCGACATCACCAGCACCTACCATGGCCCGCCACAATGAAGGTGATGACATTGCTGCGCAGTTCGTTATCGGTGAGCCCATCCACACTCCCATCGCCTGCGATTAGGAAGGACATCAGGTCAGCCTTCGCATTCTGTGTGTGTGTGTGGAGTAATGAATGTACGAAGAAGGGAATCAGCTCGGGTTTGGCTTGCTGCATGTGGGTGTATATAAGGGTTCGTGGTTGAGAAGAGATTGTATCGCCATAGATATATCTCCCGAGAATACAGAATGGGGGTTTTCAGTGAACGTCAAGATATGAATGTATTTGAGATTTACATATTGTGTAAAACCCTCGAAACAATGTGCCTTGGATTACTGACTGCATTGCTATGCTGGAACCATTGTGTATTGGAAGTTGCACAGACCACAGACAGCTGCTGACCAATTACTAATTACAACGTACGTAGGCTATTTATAAAACAATATATATATAATAAACATATATATAATAATACTACATATATATATATATATATATATATATATATATTTATATATATGATATCAACCTTTTAAACTCACGCAACACATGCCTTGTCGCCCTTTTCCGCGCTTGCACGCTTCACTTTGATGATGTCATCCACGAGTTTGTACAGCTTCGAACGCTGCTTGATGAACACTGCTGTCGCCGCGCGTTTGACCAGATGCTGCTGCATCCAAAACGGTAGAATATTCCGAATATCTAGACCTGTGGTACTAATGATGGCTTCCATAGTTTCGAACCAGTTCACATTCTCAGCGCTAATTTGGCCCAAAAAGCGAATATGGAAAGATGAATCAGAATTGGAGATGGGTTTTAGAAATGGGTCTCAGAGTCATCAGTGCTGCCGGAGTGTTGTGGCTATCGGCATTAGATGTCGTCTCGATGCAACAGGAAATACACTCACCTTTCTAGTAACAGATTCTGATTTACTTATACCTTGGTTGCCTATAACAAATACTATTGGTTCTCTACTGTATTAAACCTCTGAAGGATTGTCTTTACCAATCAACACGTAATATAGTGATGGTAGCATATCGTGGTCCACCCGCGCTAGTGCATCCCCAGACGAGTTTACGGTACTAGCCTTCCAATTGAGCGACGTGTATTTCAATACTTGGAATCGCGTGCGTACACTAAGCATCGTATGTGCTTAGCAATACGCTGTTTTGGTAGGACGAGTGTGTATGCAGCAATAGTAAACGCTTGCCGCACGAAGCATACATATCATGACAGCACATATGTGACGCAAAGCATTTGTTTACCTACTTCAATCAACTGTGCTTGCCCAAGGCCATATGCACGTGTTATAGGCTTGCGATGTGATATACAATGCAAACGATCTGAAGAGGCCCACCTATTCTCGGAATCTACTCGTACACATTGTTGAAGGCTCTTTCGATGTCTCTGCGAGATGCGTGCGATGTTTGGAGGCATAGAAATGAACACGCGGGCATATACTGTGCATAACTATACGCGGGCACATACTAGCCATAAACTATACGCGTATTGAGATTCGGTCGTCTTCGCAAGGCACAGTGTTATCCACTCACGGATGATATTAGGCATATGTATGCAAAACGTAGCCGAACCATCCTACACAGATGCATGTGATGCTGATTTCTATTGGGCCTATAACTTTTAGTCGAATTCGATCAGAAACACAGGCGATGGCTTCACTGCAGCCATTTCATAAGCTACTCACAGTACAGCAGGAACACAATTCCTGCACACCATGATAACAAACTTTAAATCTAGGTCATGTAATGTGGATTATAGTCACATTCGTGTACATGCTTACAAAGAATACCACCCATCAATCACGATATGAATGACACATATGTTGATATACATCTATATATGGCTGAAGAATGTTATTCATGAGTATTGTCGTGGTTTACAAAGCTAAGAATACGAATAAAAGCATAAGCATAGACACACATGCATATACGAGCGCATGTGTGCCGACGTAAGAATACGCATGCTAAAATACAAACGTGAAAGTTCCCCCAAATTTTAGTACAAGCTCGCTATACAGAAAGTATTCTTAACCGTACTGACAGTCTGTTGATAAACACACCTGTCACGGACTACCTCATCATGAAATAAACACATACCTAACACGAAAAAAGATCTCTCACAACCGTGCACATGTCGGTCCTTCCTCGAAGCATCACCACAGCACTGCCACTTATACAGGCCTCCACTACTCACCCCAGGCACCAACTCGCATTCTGTTCCAGAACACCCCGTCTACTGCTCACACAAACCGCAAACCCCTACCTTCATAGAGTGTGTATCCGCACTGAACCCAACGTCGCAGATGATATCGAATGCCAGCAGCATCATGGACTTGTGGACATCAATAGCGGCCCATGTGCGGAAGTCATCGCTTGAAGTATGGGGTGAAGCCTTCCATGGCAACCAGCAAGATAAAGAAGCGTTACTAGCTGGGTATGAATATAGATCTCACACCTGGATGGCGTATTAGGTGAAGCCTCAAAAAGAATCAAGTAGGAGTATGACGAAGCCTACAGCAGCAACAAGCATAATTATACTCATCCTAAGTACTAAGTAAGCAGGCACAACTCCAACACTTGAATAGAGCATGTGGTAAAGCCGATAACAGTGACGAGAGGGGATGATATTTCGACGAGTGCGCATATGGGACAATAGGACACCTGCTACCACTCATCTTTCTGATGCCGTTATCGTACCAAAACTCAACCATTCAACACTAGGGTGGTGTTTAATAGGCAGCCACTGTTAGCACTAGTACACTCTATCCCTACACTACTGTTGTTAACAGACCAAAACTCTAACCATTCAACACTAGGGTGGTGTTTAATAGGTAGTCACCGGGAGCGCTAGTATACTCTATACCTACACATGATGACTTGACGTTTCCCGCCATATTCTTAGGGTGGGCTGGGGGACAATTTGGCCGTCTGACATACAATGCATGGATTATTATAATAAAAGTGGTCTATGCATATGCTGTTTAAATTCGTTGCAACTCGCAAGCTCGTTGAAACAAATCAATCCCCAGACAGTCAAGAGACCCTCGCCCAAGATGTTCTTCAGGAATCTGTCTACCCGGACAGGTCGCCGGTAGTTGTCTGCAGTATCATTTAGCGGTTGTTAACGTATGAATTGTCGGAACATACCATGAGTGGTGGAATGTTGGGTAAACTCGATGGAGTCAGCTCTAAAAGGAGAGCCAAAGACATTTTAATGATAAAAAGTTGACTTCAGCACATGCCATAGGCTATCAAAGGGGCCTTGCTAATTGCTAAGCCGACTACCAAACCTGCAGTATCAGTATATCATACCAAAACGGCTCACATTTGCTCCGTACTGTTCCCGCCATTTTATGAGTGGTACTACTGGGGGGCTATCTGCGATCTGTGGGACGTTACCCATAATCCAACCTGAGATGCAGTGGTATAAGTGTGTTTGAGTGTGTATATGATGTGGCACTATATGAATGTTTTGTGCGTGTATTTGTACAAGTTGTGATGTGGAAAACGGGGCGACGCATGTGATTGTGTGAGAACACACAAACAGAAACGGACCCGCGACAAGCTTGTGTGTTGTACATGCTAGGTGTTGCCCGTATATTTAAAGTTATCTGAATTATATGCAGTGGTCCATAACCCCAATAACAATCGAGTTAAAGGTCAATCACTAGTAAATACCTTCAAACTTATACCTAAGCTACCAACCAGCACCCTGTATTAATTTAATGAATACACCTACAAAGTCAATGACTACTTTGTGCCCTCGATCCTCACACCTGAGTTCTCACATAGGGTGCTTCAATAAGACTCCGCCACATAGACCTGCAAGGTGAATCACCAATCAACACACCTGCATCATCCCACATGCAGCTTCAATCAAACATTGTAGCTTGTAACACTCTGGTACACACACCTACAGCTCAAACACTATGCAATAACCCCTATCCTCACACCTGCGTTATCAATCAACACACTGCGGATCGCCACGGGGTCTGACAGGCTAATAGGTGACTCGTTGAAGAAGAATCTGTACTGCACGAAGTCACCGTACTGTTCCCGCCATTTTATGAGTGGTACTACTGGGGGGCTATCTGCGATCTGTGGGACGTTACCCATAATCCAACCTGAGATGCAGTGGTATAAGTGTGTTTGAGTGTGTATATGATGTGGCACTATATGAATGTTTTGTGCGTGTATTTGTACAAGTTGTGATGTGGAAAACGGGGCGACGCATGTGATTGTGTGAGAACACACAAACAGAAACGGACCCGCGACAAGCTTGTGTGTTGTACATGCTAGGTGTTGCCCGTATATTTAAAGTTATCTGAATTATATGCAGTGGTCCAGACTCTTATGGACTCGGTGCATGTACATTCTACTACTACTGATTTTGTGCGTCAAACGGACACTACTCGGACATGTAGCAAGTTATGCAAGAACACAAAACACTCTGACCGAGATGTATAGCAACTACACATTACTGCATACCTCTCCATCCGGGACTATTGGGAGGCCCAGGCATCTCCAAGAACTCGCATAAGTAGTAGGGGTATACAAAGAGTTTATACACAGCGTACAGGAATACGTAGACAATCACGCCGATTAGAACAACGCACATAGTGTGTGAGAGAGCTGTATTTAGGGTTAGTGTGTGTGGAAGCTGTGTTCGGGTTATAAGTGAACGAGGTTGATCTGAATGAATGATGACAGGTTTAAACTTGACACCTAAACGGTCCAAAGCTGTATGGCCGATCGAAAGCGAAAGATAAGTTAATCGATCGTATAGCTAGTTTTATATCAGTGCGACTACATCCCACTTGATTTAAATATCAAGATGGAAAGAAGCAAAATTCCTAAATACGCGGAGAAGTCACCGATTATGAAATATGCCTGTCGTGTGCCTCTGGTGGTGTGTATACGTGGTCATAGTGGGTATAAACATCGAACACTCTGGCACAGAATATGAAATATGCCTGTAGTATGTATGCCTCTGGCGGTGAGTGTATGTGGTCATAGAGGGTATAAACATCGAACACTCTGGACACCTTTCGCTGGGGGTGAAGCAACTTCAAATCCAAATCTACTTCAGCTTTTTTATCTCGTCATCATTTATAAAATAGTGAAGACTAAAAAATCATCAAAAAATCGGTACTGAGTCATAAATAAGTTCTGTATTTTTTTTACTACACGTTTGTTTGTCTATTTACTTTTAACAAAAAATAACAACCAAAAAAAAAAAGTGAGTCATCGTTCCCCTAGGTATGTACCGAACTGAAAGATAGATGTGTCGTCACTGCTCGTTCGTTACAGGATGTAAATACATATTATAGTATCATTTGCCGTACATATTAATTTTTAAAATCATAGCCTTTTTATATATACGAGCCAAAGTTGTACAATTTAGGAGGCTATGGCCAAAGACCTACATAAGTAACTAAATATATGTATTTGAATAGCTGGATGTATGCCCATAGTCATAGGTTGTATGCGTATGGAGACACTGGTCTAATCATCACATATTATTAACGTCATTAGTGTTCAATCCCGTGAGTAATGTATTTGATAGCATACTGTATTTCGATGCTAAGATCTACACTAACCCCACACTGACCAAACTAGAATACAATGAAGATAATCTCAACAGAGAGGGCATCTGAAGGCGGCTCTGAACATTCTGATTCCTTCCAATTCGATTTAACATTCGAATTCGACGCTCCCACATGGGCTGATATAGCCGCTGAAGTGTATGTGAACATTATTATGTATATGCAAACACTGCTAATTGTATAAAGCCTGAATACAGCTACTTCGGCGGCGTATTAAATCTTTGATATATATATATATATATATATATATATATATATATATATGTGTGTGTGTGTGTGTGTGTGTGTGTGTGTGTGTGTGTGTAGTGTGTGTGTAGTGTGTAGTGTAGTAGTAGTAGTAGTTAGTTAGTTAGTTAGTTAGTTAGTTAGTATACGTATATATATATATATATATATATATA